ATTAGAAAGGTGAATTTTTTTTCATTCTTCTGTCATTTTTATCCTACATCATATATAGTGTAGATATGAAAAGTATTTAGCTTCCTAAATCAGAGTTGCATGTTGGCAAAACTTCAGCTTGCAAATGCAATAAAAACTGTGAAGAATAGTAAATATGATTTATTCTCTCTAAAAATAACCAATGCCTCTTGGGCTATTTGTTTATTAAATTCTATAATTGAGGACATTTATTAGTGCATCTGGGTTAAATCTAGTTTGCAATTACTGCCCCCCCCAAAAAAAAAACCTTACATCGTTAACTTATGTGGTCTGTTTTTCTTTCCCTATAAAAAAACAAAGGGAGCTCTGGTAGTGTAGTGCCTAGGGCACTTGACTGCTAACCAGAAGGCTGGCCGTTCAAACCCACCAGCCACTCCATGGAAGGAAGGTTGGGCAATCTATTTGTAGTGATACCACGCCTTGGAAACCCAAGGAGGGGTCGCTATGAGTCCAGTCCGACTTGATGGCACATAACAACAACAACAACAACAAATACCAACACATCCTTTATTTTTTCAAGAATTCCTAAGCAGGAATGAAATATGGCCCATCATCACTAATTTTGTCATCAGGAAGATTAAGTTTTCAAAGCCCTATTGTTGGTAATATTTCTTAGGACATGTAGCTAATGTACTGAAATAACTGAGCAAAAAGCAGCAGATATGTCTTCCTCAGAAGATAAATCACACTAGAGACCACTCTTTGAGGCATTTGTTTTTCCATGCAGCCCTCCATGCCTCATTTCTAAGATCAGACACATGGATCTTTGACACAGTAGTTCCTGGGCTATCGTTTTAAATACATCAAAAGACAAATGTAGGAAAAAAGGAACTATCGAACTACAGGTTTCTGAACTGCAGGTTTTCAAGGGAAGAAGAAAAGCATTGTTTCAGCAAGACTAGATAAGGATCTTTGAATGGTCTGGGAGGGGAAAGTGCCCTTTTACTGCCCTTCTATCTATATTTTGAGTATCAGGGTTTGCGGGTTTGGGTTTGCGTTTGCGTGGTTTGTGTGGTTCCAAAGAAGAACCCTCTGTGAGTGCTTAACTGCCTTTCAGCTTGGTAGCCTTATCAGTAGTTCTGCATAACAATCTGCAGAAGCCACACACTGAACTGAAAACTGTTCTCCAGGTCAGGTTAGGTATGAGTGGGCTGAAAGGGGCTTTTACCCATGAGCTCACAACCTTGTTGTTGTTAGTTGCCCACAAGTCTGTTGTGACTCCTGACGACCTCATGTGTGCAGAGTAGAACTGCTCTATAGGGTTCTCAAGGCTGTGATCTTTCTGGTGGCGTAGCATCTAAGGTATTTGACTGCTAACCAGATTCAAACCCACCAGCCACTCCTTGGAAGGAGGGTTGGGCAATCTGCTTCTGTAGTGATAACTGCCTTGGAGGGGTCAGTATGAGTCAGATGCGACTCCATGCCAGTGAGTTTGGTTTTAGTTTTTTGGATCTTTCGGAAGCAGATCACCGGGTGTGTCTTTGAGACACCCTCTGGGTGGGTTTGCGCCATCCAGGGACTCCTACTCACAACCTAATCCACACTTTTGGGAAGGAAGAACTGTTACAATTTTATGGCCTGTCCTTTCCAGTCCCTCTAATCACTTTTTAAAATAATGTCAGTGTAACATAACTAGGACCAGCCCTAAGCAAACGGGAGAGGAGATAGAATTTGTGTTTAGCCATTTTACACTTCTTTTTTAAAATTCAAATATAAATTAAAGCAAGAGTATCAGGTGGTTCTTCAGTGAAAGCAAACATGGGTATAGGGACGGATAGAT